AAATAATGCTGAAGTTTATAACATTTGCACTACCTTTCATAAAAATTTTGCTGAAAAGTTTCAGCATATATAGGATACCATAATCAAAGCTTTTTAAAATCTAAATTTTTCTGACTTTGCTGGTGATATTCTTTGACACCAAATACATGATTTCAAGCCAGCATGAGAGGATAAGCCAAATATTAAACCAGCACATTTCAATCAAAAGCTATATTTAACTGCAAGCTCAACTTTTTTAGATTATTTTTTTAAGTTAAGTCATAGATAGAAATTTAAATCTTTCTGAACCCCCTGTGATTCCAACTATCTGGCATTTTTGAACTCCACTGTTCTTGTTCTTGTTCTTCACTGTTTTTGTTCTCAAACTTCTTGGTTTATGTTATTTTTAATTTAATTTGAACTTCACTGTTAAAAAGACTCTCTGGCTTTTTTTAGTTTTTTTAAATATATTTTGCAATAACTTTCCAGAATGATCCCCCTGAGTCTATAAAAACCTGATAAAAATTAATACAAAATGAATTTTATTACCAAGTTGTATTAGTACATTTAATAAAAAATTTAATATCTTTTTGACAAATACAGCATTTCTGCAAAGAAAATATTTTTGGTGATTTTGCATTAGTATTGTTACTTATATATAACTGTGGTTAGTGAACACTCAGTTAACTCTCTTACCTTTTTAACTTCATCAATTTCATTTAGTTTCTCAAAGATTTTATCCTAGAATAATCTCTTCATAGTTTACAATTCTATGACAACTTGAATAGATAATTGCTTAATAGATGGCTGGAAAATTGTTTTTTTAGGTGTACTAATTTTACCGCAGTGGAACTCTTGGCTATTGCTGATATATAAAAGTTAGATAAACCTGTTATTTTTTCAGTTTCTATTTTCTTTTTGAATATTCCTACTGCGACCTATTTAGTTTGGAAACAACCAAAACCAAAAACTAAACTTTTTTTTTGTGGTTATGCTCTTAAATGGTACTTTTAAAAGTCCTTATTATTTAACCAGGAAATTCATGCCTTCTTCCTTAAAAATATCACTTATTGGGCTAGAGCCAGCGTTAAACCTCTGATTTCTTGGTTCTGAACCAGAACTCTAACCACTGCATGGCTATAGTTTCTTTTTGAGTTCAGCTGTCTCATCTTATGATCTTAGTGTTGATGGTTATCTTTCCTCTAACTTGCTAAGGCTCCAATAGTCACATACAGCAGTTTTAAGATTGAAAACAGCAGTTTCTTTCCCACAGCGGTGCAGCAACCCTGCTTCAATGCTAAAAAAATAGCTTGCGCATAAAAAAATAGATTTCTGCAACAAGCTGAAAATTTTTTTTAGGCAAATCTCCTTTTTGTAGTTTTTGAATAACCCTGAAACGCATACTTCATCAACTAATCCACTGTTTAAATGATGTATAAACTATGTATTCATTCCAAATAGCTCCAAACAACTGATCATTTGACATTATTATTAAGATCTAAACTGATTTTTTTTTAATATTATTTTTGTAGAAATTTTTTTTTTAACAAGATTTTTATTTTGAAATTTTATAATAAGAAATGATATTCAAAGTTTTAATTCTACTTTTCATAAAGGTACAAGATGTATATTTTTATTTTGATGTAAATCTCAAAATGAAATTTATTTAAATAAAATATATAAAAGTAAGATAGTTGGATAGTAAGATAGTTAATTCTTTATATTTACAATGGAAGATTTTTTCCATCAAATTTTAGATTAAGTTAATGATACATAGATATATCATAAACTTAAAAAAAAAATTATATTTAGATTTAAATAATTATCTTTTACATTCAGCAAAAAAGGTTTATTAAAAATTATTTTGACATTTTTATTTAAAAACAAAAATTGGAAATAACTTTAATGGAATAAGAGTTAACTATGCCATAATGTAATTGAGTAACATAACATTTTAGAAATTTAAATGAGGAACAGTTCCATTGAATTAAATGAACTTAAAAAAACTTTTACTATTACTATATAAATATAACAAGTTTTTTTAGAATTTCAAAACCAATTTTGTGGTATATAGTTGAATATATAATTTTTTAATATTGATTGAATTACCTACATAGATATTGAAAGAAACATAACTCATATATAAAAAAAAAAAAACTTACATCTAAGGGTTTAATACTTTTTTTTTTTATCTCCACATTCTTTAATTTTTGCTTATTCATGTCTATAGAAAAATAAAAATACTAAGTGAAAGTAACAGATAAAGAAACTAATCAATAAAAGTAAATTATATAAAAAAATTTTATACTTAAAAAGAAATACACTATTTCAAAATAATTTCCTTAAAAAATATCAAATAATAACTAGTTTTATTTCAAAACTTTCCTCATTAATTGTTCACCAATATTTTTTTTACATGAGACAAGGTCACCTAACAAATCAAGCTTTTAAACTGCAATATCAAATATCAAATTAAGAATAATAAAATTAAAGAAATAAAATACTTTAATAATTTACAAAAAATAAAAAAATAAAAAAAGAATATATAAATTTAATAAAAAATTATAACTATTTTACTCTATTACATACATATTTTATATGTTGTTGTTTTCCAAAAACATATTTAATTTTTTTTTCAAAATGAAAGACAATTAAAAGTATATGTAACAATTGTGTACACATAATATTAGAAAGAAAAAATATTTTAGGTAAAGACTCACTTTATGCCCACTCGATTAAATTACAAACGTGTACGTGATTTACAAACGTTTTTTTAACATAGGTTCAATTAATAAAGTTTACTTTATGTCAGTTTAATTAATAAAGTTATCCAAATACATAAGGTTTATTAAATAAACTTTAGTTATTGTTATTTAAAGTAGAAATTGTTGTCTAAAGAGGAAGATTATATTTGAGATTCAAATCATTTCTTGTTTATTAATAAAACATCTGAAGTTAAAACTAAAAACCAAATTATTGGACCCATTATAACAAAAGTCAGGACAATTTTGAAAATGTTTAAACGGCTCTCAAACAAAAATTTATTTATTAAAATACATAAAAATTGAGTTTTGAGTTTTTCATCTACTTAATCCATGATTATCCATGGTCATCCAATTAATCCATGATTAAATGGATGACCTTTCAGTCATCCATTTAATCATGGATTGCAAAACACGATGGAGCAATTTGTTGCTTATGCTGGACCGATAAGTGTAATTAAAGAAATTAATGTGTTAAAAAGGCACTTCTAGATTTAGAACTGGATTCCAACATTGATTATTCAATTAAGATGAACAAAAAGGAATGTAGAATTATATCTGATTTAGTAGTACTTTTTACTCTTGTTAAAGCAACTGTAATAGCACTTTGTCATCAAGACGCAACTTTAGTTTCCTCTGAGTTAAGTTTATGTTGTTTCCTCTGACATTGCATTAAAGTTTATGTTGACAAAAATAAAAGAACAAAAATCTGAAATCAGAAAATTGTATAACATTTTGATAAATCTTTAAATCAAAAAATTTTATGTTTTGAAAATTGTATGATGTTTTGAGTTACTAAATTAAAGAGAGAAAATACTATTAAGGAGCTTAGTATATACTCATGGTCAGGCTGCTTAATCAAAAAATTTCAGAAAGTTTTGTATCAAATACAAGTACCCAAAATAAAAAAACTGTGATAACCTTGATAAAGTGTTTAAAATTGGCAGATATAGTAGTGATAGTTCTGATAGTTACCAGGCTTTTTCAAGCAACGAATGTGATAATAATGTCAAAATAATTTGTAAATAATTAAATAAAGTGATGGAAAAACAATTGGCAGAATTAAGAATACAACCTATAAGGGTAGAATAATGAATTTTAAAATTCAAAAAGAAAATAACACTATTAAGGAATATCATAAAAAAAAAGTGTACATTCAAGTTCAAATTACCAAAGTCAACATTGATTCACAGAAATAAAAGAAAAAATTGAAGGTCAACATTCAAGACAATAGGCTAACAGCTTTATTAATTAAAATTGAAAATTTCTTGACACATATGATTCAATTTTAAAGCAATTAGGGTAATGGTTTGAATTAAGCTGATATCATTTCTATTGTTAAACACTATTTAAAAAAATGATTTTAAAAATGAAATTGAAATATGGTTTAGCAATTCACAAAGCAGATAACTTTACATCAGAGTGGTATCTTGCACATGTTACAAATGACAATTATTTTTTAAATTACAAGAAACAATAAGATGAAACTAAAACTGTTCACTTGAAAGCTTCACAAATTTAAAACAGTAATGAGTGTAGTTTTATTTTAAAATTTTATAGTTAAAGCAATTGCCGGATTGGCATCATTGCCGGAAAACTCATTTTCATTGTTGACGGTCAGAGCACTCATGTGTTATTTAAATTTATTCAAATATATAAAGAAAATAACTTCTGATTGGCCTGCGTACTAGATCGTTTAAGTCACATTTTGAAATCATTGGACGTTGGAATATAATATCACCTTAAACATAGCTGGAAAAACATATTAAAATCATATCATGAATTATCAAAATGCAAAAATATAAATTTTAAGTTAATTTTTTTTTAATTTATATGAAAGTGGCTTGTACTTTATTAAAACACTTGAAGTCAGTGCTTTTAAGGGTTATTTCCTTTGATTATGTGCAATATTTACCAAATTTGAAAACAACAGAAACATTTAAATATTCAACACAAGAGCTAGCATAACAGTCAGCATTTGCTATTACAAGTAATCAATTGAAAATTATACCAAAACATTAATTTCAGTTAAAATTGGTTTCAAATCTGCCATAAAATTATTTATGCAACATTCCAGATTTTAAACCATTATGTAAAATTCTTTTTAAGAAATGAATATTCTATAAAACTCATAGAATATTTATTTCTTAAAAAGAATATAAACAGATTTTCATTACTTTTCTTTTTTTATATATATTATTTATAGAAATAATTCTTTATTTATAGAAAAAAAAACATTAACAGAAGTAAAAAAATGTAAAAAAAAAAAAAATTAAAAAGTTATAAAATGTAAAAAATTAAAAAGTACCATTAACAGAAGATTTAATTGGTTCATTAAAAATCATCTCTGCAAGATGGTTAACGTTGCGAAAATTATGTCCAGTTCCATCAAACTTAATGTAAATAATAATAAGTTACTTAATAATATATATATATATATATACATATATATATATATATATATATATATTATATATATATATATATATATATATATATATATATATATATATATATATACATATATATATATATTTATATTTATATATATACAAAAAAATATATTTATATATATATATATACAAATATATATATATCCATATATATATATATATATATATATATATATATATATATATATATATATATATATATATATATATATATATATATATATATATATATATATATATATATATATATATATATATATATATATGTATATATATATCTATATATATATATATATATGCATATATAAATATATATATATATATGTGTGTATATATGTATTCTATATCTATATGTGTGTATATATGTATCCTGTATCTATATATATATGTGTATATATGTATCCTATATATATATATATATATATATATATATATATATATATATATATATATATATATATATATATATATATATATATATATATATATATGCATATATAAATATATATATATATATATATATATGTGTATATATGTATCCATATATGCAAATATATATATGTGTGTGTATATGCATCCTAGTAGCAACTTTCAGGGACCTGTTTTTTTTGTTTTCGTTTTGTTTTGTTTTTACTTTTTTATTCTATTTTTATCATATTTATATATTTTTTTAACTTATTTTATTTCTGTTTTTATTTATACATATTTAAATTTATCATTTTATTATAAATTATTATATTAATTTTTGTTATTTTTTTTTTATTTGTTTTATACTATATTTCATTTTTAACTTTATCTATTTACAAAAACAATTAATTACAATAATGTAACCAAATTTAAACTTTGCCGTAACCTTAACTCTAAGCCTGACCTTGATGCCTGGCCTAACCAAACCCTCATTTGATGTAGCAGCATCCCCTTGCAAGTCAGGTTATTTGATAGTCAATGTATGAACTTTTCGTTTTCTATAAAAGTTTCTTATGGGTACATTTTTAAAAAAAAAAATAATGTTTACCGGGACAAAAAATTAACGGGTACCCTAAAATGTCTATAATGTCCGATAATGCTAATGTCCCCGTAAGTGTTCGTTTGTTGTAAAATCTGTCTCCCCAAGTGATAAAATATACAAATATATGTATATATATATATATATATATATATATATATATATATATATATATATATATATATATATATATATATATATATATATATATATATATATATATATGTATGTATATATAAATCAAGCATTCCCAGGAAAGGCGTGCGGTTTTTCGTCTCGTACGACCAGAAAAACGTTTTTCAAGTTAGAGAATGTGACCACGGCTGTTTGTGCAAGTTATATTATATGCGTTACTGAAAAATTGTTTTAAATTTAATAACTACATATGAAATTAAAGTAAACTTAAATAGAAAACAATAATAATAGTTTAAATAATTTGTGTGTTGTTTTTATTTTTGTTTCAAAACAAAATTCATCAAGTCAAAGCAAAAAAAAAAACAAAAAAAAAACGGTTTTAGGCATTAAAAAGGATTACTTTTCCATATTTTACGTGTTTTGTCTATTTGTAAAATATATTTGTATAATTATAATGTAACAAGTTTTTATCAAGAGTTAATTGTACGATTGCGATTTGCAAACTCTGGTAAAATATTAGGTCTTTAAAATTTTAGTTCATGCAAAGCTGTGTACTTTGTTTATAAGGAGCAAATTATTAAAAGTTTGCTAGCGAGAAAGTTACAAAAAATAAAACAAAAACAATAAACTTACGACTACAAAAGTAATAACACTTTAGTCACTAACTGCATTATAAAAGTAATAAAACTATAATAGTGTTATTACATTTATAAAGCACTTATTACTTTTAAAGTTCATTCTTTGTTCAAACAACATTATTAATTCCAAACATTTATTAAAGTAAAAAATCATCTAGAAAAATAAAGCGGATATTCAAATATTATTAAAAATTTCAGGAACTTTCACATATCACTTAAACAACGTTATAAATAAGTACTTTATAAAGAGTATAGCATTATGAAAAACGTTACGTAAAAACACGCATTAATTTTAAAATCAACCAATAAAAAACTTATATTGGTTAATTTTAAAATTAACTCGGGTTTTTATGGTCCAATAGTAACGTTTTTCATAATGCTAAACTTTTAATACGATACGTTTTCATAAAGTTGTTTGTCACATTGTTATAAGTTACTTTAGTTTTAATATTATTTGAACATCCACTTTATTCTTCTAGATATTTTTCTACTTCAATTACAATTTGGAAATACTAAATTTGCTTGAACGAAGAATGAATTTTAAAAGTTGTAAGTGCGTTATAAAAGTAATAACACTATTATAGTGTTATTACTTTTGTAATGCAGTTAGTGACTACAGTGATTTTATTATTATGATTACTTTTGTAATCATAAGTTTATTGTTTTATTTTTTCACTAACAAATTTAAGTTGATTCTCCCCTTAAAAACAAAGAACACGGTTTTGTATAAACTAAAATTTTGAATACTAGATATTTTTCCAGATTTTGCTTTTTGCATTCGCTTAATTCAACCCTTGTTGTTACATTGAAATTATACAAATAAATTTTACAAACACATTGCAGTTTGTATTGTTGCTATCCTCTTAAAAAAATTTAAGAAAAGGAAAATCATTCTTTTTATCAAGGCTAAAAGACGTCTTTTCTGTGACCTGTTTATAAATATGTCATTATGACTTCTTTTTGACGGCTTTGTCATTACGCCTTAAGAAGATGTCGTATATTCAAAGTAAGTGTAAATGGCAATAAGTGAAAATGGCAAGAATAATATATAAGTTAAATATCAGTATTTTTAGTTTTTATATACCCACAAGCCATATAATAAGTCAAGTATGCGGTCAAAAATTAGCTATCAATATATATATTAAATTTTATTATAACTAAAAATATGTTATAAATGTTTTAAACACTGTTTTGATATATATACTTGTTATTGTTTTTTATTACTTTCATCTTTGATGCATCAACCGTTGGTGGTGATTACAGCAATATTATTTTGACTGCTGGTTCATATGTATATTTGGTATAAACGAAATTAAAACCATATATGATGTTATAAATACAATGAATATATACCACATACTACGCAAAAGTGTTACGTCATGTACTTAAATTTAACTTGAAAAAAACGTCTAAAATACGTCTAAAACGCGTTTTTATAAAGACGTCTTCATTTAGACGTCTTTTAGCCTTATGATCTAGACGTCTACAAGTGCGCCTTTTAGACCTCCTTAAAGACATCTTTAAAACGTCTTTTAAACGTCTTTGTGCTTACTGGGTAGCATTATAATAGAATGTTAAACTAATTTTCAAATGATTTAACTTAAATTTTGTTATTTTCACCTAATTTTTGTATTCATAACACTTAGTGTCTAAAACTTTTTTGTTTGCACAATATACTATGAGTGTGTATTTTAATAAAGCCTAATTATCCACAAAAAATACTCATTAAAAAAAAATCATTATTAAAGAATAATCTTCAATTAAAATATAATATTTATTTTTGTTTTTTAATAAATATTGTTAACTTTTTTTCTAGCAGGTTTTATATTTTAAATGAAACACACTATATAAATATGATAATTTTATACTTATTATTAAAACTGTTATAAAGTTTTGATTGTAAACTAAACACTTCTATGATTGATGAAGATTGTTATGGTCTCAAAGCTTTGTTTATTTTAATACTCTAAATTATTTAGATGCTAATTAAATGATTTTTTTGTCTTAAAAAACAATATGTTTTTTAAGGTAATTGAATTTTTTATTATAAGGTTTGCCTATTGCTAATTCTTGACAAACAAATTTGATTGTCTAAAATTGATACTGGATGATCAAAAAATAACTTCTTTCAAAATTAGACAATCTGTGATATACACATAATATACATATATATATATATACATATATATATATATATATATATATATATATATATATATATACATATATATATATATATATATATATATATATATATTTATATATATATATATATATATATATATATATATATACATATATATATATATAAATATATATATATATATATATATATATATATATATATATATATATATATATATATATTGTGTATATCAGACAATCTGTGATATACACATAATTATATTTTGTGTATATCAGACAATCTGTGATATACACATAAATATGTATATATATATATATATATATATATTTATATATATATATATATATATATATATATATTGGCGTGAAAAATAACAGCTTGCCAACAGTAAACGACTGCCTTAAATAAATAAAACTGCAATTTTGACCTCCGAAAATGATTTTTTACCAGTCATGGTATGATAAAAAAAATCAGAATATTAAAAACGTTGTTAATTAGAATTTTATTTGGAATATATATATACATATATATATATATATATATATATATATATATATATATATATATATATATATATATATATATATATATATATTTGAATAGATATAAATATATAGAATATATTAGAGGTTAAGTATTTTGATGTAATAATATCAAGTCTCATGTAGATGTTACAGGGCTCAATATTTTTACTATTGTAACCTTTTGAATCAAATACACTTAATTAATATTCCTAAATATCTCAAAACTTTACAACTATCTTTAAATGAACTTTTTATTAAAAAATAGTAGCTACTTATTTAAAAAATAATACCTTGGGTGATATGTCATATCGTGTTTTTCCATCATCAATTGTTCCTCTAAAAATTTAATAAAGGTTAAATCTTTTTAGAGATAAAAACTAACTAAATGTTGACTTTAGCCTGGTATATGACTATTGCTAAATTATAAAAAATTCTTTGCTTATATATAATTTCAAATTCACCTTTATCACAAATTGACGTTATTTGGTTTACTTGCAGTTTTTGGAACTATTAGTATAAAGAATTATTTGCTTATTGGAGGTTTAAATTTGTAAAAACTATATGCCTCAAGTAGGAAGTAATTATGGTCCAGGCTATGGTTAAAAATGAAATTTTTTGCAAACCCAGCCCAAGCAAAACTATAAGACAGGGCTTTGGAGCCTTGGTTAAAAACTAGCTGCGGCTCCAGGCTCCGGCTTCAGGCTCCGGCTCCAGCTTCTAAGCTTAAGGCTCCAAGCTCAAGGCTCTGGCTCCAACTCCATTAGAACTTTTGGCTCCATCCCCAGAGCAGCTCCAGAGCGGCTCCGCAAAAAAAAACAAATCAAAAATTTTTTTTAATGTTTTACAACAGTAACTTAAGTACTATTAACATTTTGTTAATTAAAATCTTAATTCATCTTTAAAAATAAATCTAAAATATCAGGTTTAAGTGAAAAAACGCAGATCGCTCAATTCAAACTTAAGAGCAGAAAATAGCCTCTCCTATAGAATTTCCCTATAGAAAATAGTGAGATTTTAAGAGATTTTTTTTTTTTAATAAAAGTATTTTTATTTAAAAAAATTTAAAAAAGAAGCATGACCAAAAATAACTTTGGTCACACCTTCTTATTTCTTTTTTATCATGCTCCTTTTCAAACTCATCCTCTTTTCAGTTTTAAGTGAATCTAATTCTGATGGAGGAATTAGATTCACTTAAAACTGAAAGAAGTACTGTAGATAGCACAGCATTATTTCTTGACTTTTTATTATATTCTTGGCATCACTTTTATAATTTTTTTCTGCTATTGTTTTTAAGCATTGTTTTGCTTGTAATATTTGGTTTTCTTCCAATAGTATTCTATATCTAGGATCAACATAAACTGCAGCTAGAAATAAATCATTATCAGAAGGTTTTTTTACTTGTTTCTGCAGAGATTTTGAAATGCCTTATGCAAATAGTCCTTGACTCTTCTCTAGGTCAGATTTCAAGCTCACCTGGAGTAAGGTGGATTAACTGTCACATCATGGGGCTTTTTAAAAAAATTGCAAAGATGACTAGATTTATTCCATATTTCAGGGCGTAGAAAAAATATCTGATCAACTGCAGCAAATCGCTCACACTGGACACAAAAGTAATTATCTTTTAATTATCTGGAATGTAGAACCCCAACATGTCTCATTATCCCAAATTGAAACAACCTTGTATTGCTTCTTTGCTAAAAATATTGTATGTAAGTTTCTTAGCTTCTTTACAACATAATGGACTTTTGCCAAATATTGGGTAATTAATGTTTTTTTAAATCATACGAATAGCTAGCTGCAAAGTGTGAATTACACAGCGCATCAACTTAATGTCAGTAGACGATTGTTGACACCATTCTGAGTTGATAAAGGCTAGATTTTCTTCCTGAGCTCCTTCACTTTCTTCATCATTTGTGTCCTGTTGTAAAAATTCCAATTTTTCTTTTCATTTTTTCATGCAAAGCTTCATCTCAAAAATTTTCATCACCTGAATATTTGTTTAAAATTGTGATTGCTCTAATCATATTGTCTGCATTGTCTAAATTTGCACATACTATTTGATTATTGCTGATACCAAATCTATATGGAGAATCTTTCACCATTTTTTTGATAGCAATAGGGTTGTGCTGTCCTTGTGTATCTATCAGTGCCAAAATTTTTAATTTTTTTTCGCATAATAATATTGAATAATTTTTTTCAAATAGTTATTTTTTTGTTGAGTGGCTGCATCTATTTGAACATAAATAAATTTCTGTAACTATATTTCCTCTATTTCAGCTTTTTTTCTTTCTGCAAATTCATTAATCAAATTGCGTACAGAATTGTGCTCCAAAGCCCTGCTATAAGATTTAGCAGGAATAGATAGCAAGGGCTAGAAAAAATTTATAATACTTTGTATATTATAAATTTATGCATACATTTACGATTTCTTAAATACTAACATATATTTAAACATTTTTTTAAACTATTTTACGTCCAACAAGGTTACAAGTAACCACTATTATTTTATGAGTTACTAGAAGATAAAGGATAGGGTTAAAGAGCAAGGAGTTAACAAGTTGTAGGTTGCATATTCAGGAAAACATGAGGATGAGTAAGAGTTTTGAGATTTTTTTAAAGTGCAATAAAAAAAACTGGATTAATAAAAGTTTTTAAAACATCAAGGGACAGATACAGTAAATAGATGCGATTTACTATATAAGAAGCCAAACAAGGATGAGTTTGGATTAACTGAACTAGAGATAATAGCTTGCTTGAGCAGTGACCATAATAATATTTGAAAAAAAAAAGAAATGCAACCTTACGACCATGGGAGAGTGGCTCAAGCTTGGCAAAAATACCAATATACTTTTAGACGTTGTCTGAGAGTGAGAGGGTTGTTATTTATAATACTTATTTTTTTTTTTTTTTAATATAAAAAAATAGCAATTACTTTTATATCTTTAATTATCAAATGTATGGCATATATAAACTTACGATAATCCACCACTACATGTACTGATAAAGGCATATGAATCTTTGATTCCTCGAACGCTTCCTTCATAATAACAATGCTCTGGATAATGCTAATAATTTTTAGTTGAAATTTATATCCTTTTATATTTTTAAAAAGAATAATATTTTTGGATAAACATTTTTAAAAAAATTATTTTCATTATTATTTATTATAAATATTGTACAAATATTATTTTAGGAACATTATTAAAAATAAGAAAAAATTTTAAATTTTCTTTAAAATTTTAAATCATACCTTTTTTGTAACTTCTTTACCATCTTCAAAAGAACGAACCCATATAAATCCTGGGTGTATTTTTCTATGAAATTAATCAGATAATGCAACTATTTCTTAATTTAATGCACATATCCATAGCATAACATAAACAATCTTTAAAAAAGGTTTATTACTCAGCCTTTTTTAAATCCAAAAAATGATGGTCTCTTTTTGATTTAATTTCATAGGTGACATAATCGTCATGAATTCCATGCTAAATAAAGAAATATTATATTATTGTATATTGAGACACAAAATACTTAAAATAGTTACAAAATCTTTGCACAACTCTCAAAATATTTTAAATCTTTGTAGAGATACACATAAAGGCTGAAAAGAATAATGCTCATTTTCTAAATCTCCTTGGAAGTTTATAGGTATCCGCTATAAAAAAAGATACAAATAATTAATGAAGATTGTACTTGTAAATTAACTTTATTTAATGTTATAAAATTTTAAGTTATGATAATAACAGAAGAGTAAAATTTCTCAAGTCTGCTATACAAGCAAAAATGCACTTAGAAATTCATTTGTTGAGAATAAGGCATAGTAAACCCAGGTACAGAGAAATCATTGTGTTGCAATATCTTAAAGGTTAAACTCCAGCACTAAACAGATTAAATGAAATTAAATGAAACTCGTGCATTCAACAGATTACATGAGAGTATATGAACTTTATTAGTTTCAAGCCATTACAAATTTAAAAATCTTTTTTTTATTTTTTTAAACAAATTTTAAAAATATGAATACAATAATAACAATATATACAAAAACAGAGTGTTTTAATTTAATGAAATGAAAAAATTTGTTAATTATTGTTTTATTTTAATTATATATATATATATATATATATATATATATATATATATATATATATATATATATATATATATATATATATATATATATATATATACATATATATATATATATATATATATATATATATATATATATATATATATATATATATATATATATGTATGTATGTATATATATATATATATACATACATGTACATATATATATATATATATATATATATATATATATATATATATATATATATATATATATATATATATGTATATATATATATATATATATACATATATATACATATATATATATATATATATATATATATATATATGTATATATATATATACATATATATAAATATATATATATATATATATACATATATATATATATATATATATATATATATATATATATATATATATATATATATATATATATATATATATGTATATATACATATACATAGAGTATACTATTTTGAAAATATAATTTAATACGATATTATCAACATATTTTGATTGTAGACAATGATTCTTCATATATTTTATTTCAATTCTTTGCCTTAGTAAACATGGTCCAAAACTAAAATGGGATTGAAATAAAACTGGTAAGACATGTTTTTTAAATATAAAGAATGACATGTGTATAGAAAATTGCATTTTTAAATTTACGTTGGGATGTAGAAAAGCTGAACAATCTGGTCTTAATCAAGTTAAGACTAGATTGTTTTTTTTATAAAATATAAATCTTAATGAAAAAAGTATACACCAATGTGTAAATGTTGACAAATTTTCAGGAATGAAGATAATGATCTTTTTAGATATATTTTATATTGAAAAAGATTATGTAATAAAGAATTTGTCTACAACCATGAAAAAACAACCTTAGCGCTAAAGAAAACTGATTGAATGGTTTTATGAATAGATTCAAAGGTCCTCCTTTACATTTTGAAGAGTTTTTTAAAAAAATCTAGTAAAAATTATTAGAAAATATCATTTTAATATTAATAACATCTATAATCCAAATGATTTTTACTTATGAATTTTTTTTTTTATCACACATCATTTTTTGTCTAACAGAACAAGTCAATGTCAACTTAAAAATTTAAAACTAAGAATCTCATGTCAGAATACTGAACTTGGAACTTCCAACTTGCCATGATCTTTAACTTTTAATTGTCTTTTGATAAAACATTTATTTTTAGCAAACTAAAACAAAAAAATACAAAGATAGAAAAAAATATATAAATATTTTTACATACCTTGACTTAAAAGAGAGTGGTTGCCAGGACTGGGATCAAATAAGTATTTGTATTTGAAATTATATTATCTTTGGTAGTTAGGGATTAAATTGGTTTATTTGTATTCATATTGTATTAAATTTAAAAAATTTCTTAAACATATTAAAATGCATTTGTTACAGAGTTTTACCCAAAAAAAAACCATAGTAAACTAGGTTGACAAGTGTTTTTTTTGGGGGGAAAAACCAAGGGATTTGTTGTTTTTTATTTTCACCTCTAAATTAAGTTAAAAATATGGTTTTAAAAAATTTGTATTTGGTAAATGCCTATTATAAATATTTGTATTTGAATTTAATTTTAAGCAAAAAAAACATTTTTTTAATATATCAATAGCTTTTATTTTATGAATACTTTACTAGTTGATTCAAATTTTTTACCAAAAAAAATTTAGTCATTTATGTTGGTAAAACTATCGGCACTCAGCAAAGTGAAAATATGGTTAAAAATGTTTTTAAGATATAATTCTTTATTAAGCAAAAAAAGCCTTCATTTTTTATTGAGAAATAAAAAAAGCAAAAAAAAAATGTTACTAATAATTACTAGTTTATAAATATTATTAAAATATTTTCTGAGCCACTCACTTTCCTAAGCTAAACCACTAATTTTACTAAGATAAACCATTAATATTCTTGTGCTAAACCATAAACTTTTCAAAGCCATTGTTTTTATTTTTCCAAAGAATAGCCCAACACTAAACTAATAAAAATTAGATCAAAAAAACATAAAATTAAAAAAAATCCACATAATACTGAAGTAATAAATTTTTTTTATTTATATACTTATTTGCTCTGGGTAGTAAATCACTTTAGCAGCAGGTTTAATAATTATGATTTCAAAATATTCAGTCTTACCTATTTACCTGACTTAGTGTGTAATAACTGAGTTTAGGAGAAGAGAAATGCGACCCTTAAAGACGCACGGTGAGCCTTGCGAGTTACACCTCTAAACAGCTTTTTATGAGAGCTCTTATTTTTTGTTAATGTTACAATTATATATGCTGAATGAGGGACATTTACCATGCCCTAAAAATTTATGAAATATTCCTTTTTTCAAAAAAAATCTTTAGACAAACATTTTCTTTGGGTTTTCACACTAGCTAGCTGTAAATTCATTAACAACTTTATTCATTAGAAAATTTGACAATAATGTCATTAATGTTACAAGAATATTTTATATCAAGAATTTAAAGGAAAAAAAATCTTTCTGCACTGCATATCTGTGTTTGAAATGAAAAGAAAAATATTTTCTTACTACTTCTTTTATAACTTTGTATTAATAATATGTGAAATTTATGTCCACATTTATAATAATAAAATTCTGTTTTAACAAAATAAAAAATTTAATGTATTATGGAATAACTTATATTATAAAGTCCACAAGCCATTTGTATGATTAAAATATAATTTCAAGCACTACAAAAAAAATTGTGACTGGTCTGAAAAAAAAATTTACAATTACAATATGTAATCAAAAAGTCAATCTTCAACTCAACTGTTGTCTTTTTTATATGATCTATTTTATAGGCTTGCACCAGAATTTTTAAATTTTCTAAATAATATTTAAAAATAGAGAAGAAAATAAAGTGGTTTTTATTCATGACAAATTAATACTTTTCTAAGAGCTTTAAATTTCTTTCATAAATTAATTTAGTAGAGTATAGGCGATAGCTAAAGAAATCGGTTCTACTAAGACCTGAAACACATAATAAAGTTCATTTAGTAATTGAATTAATACTAGTAACTAACTATAAATGATAATTGTATTTTATGTATGTGCAGTTCTTATGTGTATTAAATTTATTAGCAGAACTATATTTATAGCTATATTATATAAATTGTTCATTTTATTCAACAAGGGATGGATAGAAAAAAAAACATAGGCAATAGATTTAAAATATATCAGTTGGATTTATGATTTTAAACAGTTTACTGTAGTAACTTACCAGAATTCTCAGTAAGATACCCATAAAATTTGAGTTTCATTTACCTATACCTGATATACACCAAAATATGTCCTAATAAATAATAGCATTTACTTATGATTAAAAAAGATTGTTTAAAATAGATTTTTTATTGTTACATGTCTTAAAATAAATAAGATTTCAAGTAATAAAAAGGCTTTTACCTGATTTGATGTGCCTAGGTCATTTTCTAAACGTGAATTATGGTGGCGCTTGGGAAACACAACTTCATCCTCAGGTAAAAATTGTGCTAAAAAAAAGTTGTTAACCAATTTTTAATAAAATTTTAAAACATCTAGGAGTTTAAACCTAAAGGTCTTTAGAATCAATGTACCCAGTTTTAAATTCGCAATAATACAAATACCTAAACATACAAACAGAAAAAAATCTTTAAATGTACACACTCTATTTTGAAAGAACTTTAAACTAATTATTATTAACAGCCTAAAATTTTTCTAAAAACTATTTATTTATTTACTTTTTATTTTTTATACTTATGTTCAGCTTTTAAAAAATCATTTAAATGAAGAGACTGTTATTAAATTGGCTATGGCTTAGTCGTCATCATGTTTTTTTTAGTTATTCCTTTTTTTAGTTTAAAAGGGAAGGGGTTAAAATGCTCTGTTTACTGAAGATATGGATTTTTTAATTAATCTTGAAAAAATTTTATACTAATTTCTTTAATTTTTAATAATATTACTTATTTGTTTTAATTTGATATTATTTAAAAATAGCGCTTATTTTATAAATTTACTTCCTTATTGTTTTCATTAATGTTTTAACTGAAGTTATGAAGACATTACCATTACTTTCATTAATAAAGAAATGGCTCGAAATTAACAACCTTGTTTTGTATTGAAAATAGAATTATGTAAGTGCATCAAAAACCTCAAGATTCCCTCAATAAATCAGCCGATAAAATAAAAATGAAAAAACGATTATTTAAAGCAAAAAAGTCAAGTAGAAAATAAAAACAAAAATATTTAAATTTAAAGCCTTATACCTCATTTCGATTTGCAAATTTTGGTTGCAAATTACGAAAGTCGATTTAGTGATAAAAATTTCCCGGAAATTTTAAACTCACGAAATTTTCAAAAAAGATAAGTTACTTTATAATTAACGGATGAAATTTTGTGTCTTATTTAGTCAGTTATTATGGACAATTTTATTGTAAAATGTTGAGAAGCAGATTATAAAAATTTTAGAAAGCCCTCTTTGTAAAGCAATTTTTCTGTCTTATCTTTATATATATTTATATTTATGAAAGGTATATTTATGAAAGGTAATTCATCTACCCTTCTTTTAGGATTAACTCTTACTTCTGAACTTTTTTAGAAATCATATCTCAAATCCATTGCAAAGTTAGCACCTGCTAAGGTGGCATATCCTTATCGTGTTGTCACTTTCCTTTCTAATCTTTATCTCTAATCCGTCCTTGTATGAAATACTGATGCCATATCTGAAGCGGATCTTTGAATGATGCACTTTCTCTTTTAGACAAGTTGCAAAAACGCATTGTAAACATAGTTGCACCACATCGTCGCAATGTTGCTTCTCTTTCTTTTTTCTATTAGTTCTATAAAGGGCGCTGCTCTAAAGTGCTAGCATCTTTTATGTCGTCTACTAAAATTCATTCTTGTGTTTATTATTATGTTTTTTATGTGTTTATTATTATGTTTTTTATCATTCTTGTGTTTATTATTATGTTTATAAATTACTCGTCATTCAGTTAAGTCTTATCTTTTTCTGTGAAATAAAGTATTTTAACACACACACACACACACACACACACACACACACACACACACACACCCACACACACACACACACACACACACACACACACACACACACACACACACACACACCCACACACACACACACACACACACACACACACACACACACACACACACACACACACACACACACACACACACACACACGTACGTATAATCGCTCCTGCTCGTTATTTAATATTTTTTAGAACAGTTTTTTTAATGAAAATATTAAGTATTTTTATTTATACAAAATTAACTTTTTTGAACAGTTGAGTAATATCGATCTTATATCGATTTTAAAGTAAAGCATTTGTATTATCAAAAACCGACCTTAAGTTCGAACTTAGTTTTAAAAATATAAGAAAAAATTGCTTTCTCTATTTTGAATTGATAATCATGGCAGGAATTGATTTCTTTAAACGTGAAGAAAGATTTTTTTCTTTTAATACTATACAATATCTTTTTTTTTAATTAATACACATAATAGCCTCTTAGCCTAATAGTTGCCTAAAAGAATGATTTGTGTTAAAATCTAATTAAATAAAGAATTATCAAACGCGCCTAATCTTTTATGAGGCAATTGTTGCATTAAAATTCTTGTTACTACAATGTACATTCTACAAAACTTGTTTTTTATACATTAAAAATTAATAGTAGTGATAAAGAAAAAGCTATTTGATAAATTTTTACTTTTAAGCTAGCAAGTTGTGATATACATGAAAGTGTGTAGCTATGGATCACGAATCTTTTAATTAACATAAATAAATAATAATCTAACTAACATAAATTAATAATAATTTAACTAACATAAGTTAATAGTAATTTAATTAACATAAATTAATAATAATAATATTTTTAATTGAGATAAATAAATAATAAAGTATAATATTATTATTAAAACCTGCTTCTAAAAAAAATACTGAATGTAAAATTACGAAGTATATTTTTTTAAATAGCTTTTTTTGTAGCTAATGTGAAAAGATACAAATGCAAACTATAATTAAGGTTATATCTCGTTACTGCGTTCAAAACAACGATTTTCGCAACTTTATGAGTCAATAAAGCCTTAGTAGAAAAAAATCTATGAATTTTACCGCCCTTTTAAAGAATATTTACTGCTCAGTTGTGATGCCATAGTAAGTAAACACAAATGTGTTTATATGACTATCATCAAAATGATATTAAAATTCTGTAGATTTAATTTATGTAAAATAGATTTTGTAGATTCTGTAGATTTAATCTATGTAAAATAGATAGTAAAATTCTGTAGATCTAACACAATTGAGAAAATTTATTTTTCACAAAAAATTAAAAAAAAATTTAAGGGGATACTTTAACCTAAAAAAAAAAAAGGTTACTATTTTTTTTTCTAGGATAAAATTACTTTTTTATTAAAATATATTATTTGCTACTAGCTTGAAGTAATGTTAAACTTTTCGTATGCCCCCCAATAATTTAAGAAATATTTTTAATTTTTACAAAAATATATTTTGATTCTTTTAAAATCAAATGCCTCCTAATAATTTAAGAAATATTTTTAATTTTTTCAAAAAAAGATTTTGTTTTTAAATCAAAATTTAATGTAGATTCAAAAATTTAGGCTACTCCAAATCTACATTTTAGCAGTTTTTTCCCAAAATGTGAGTGCTGCTCATCAGATATTATATACAAAATAATTCAAAATCTAGACCCCCACTCTATTCCTAAATTTTATGGTTTTCACAACAATAATCAACCACATTTCCTTTAAAACTTGAAAGTTACAATAAAAACGTTTGATTATAGTTTATTAACTGATTAACATTAGTGATATTAACTGAAAAATATCAGATTGTAGACCTTGCTTTAAAGAGGATAGTGTCAAAGTTTTATTTAGAAATATATAACAGCTTTTGAATTATCATCTGCTAAAAACATACACATTTTTTTAATTGCCGCGATAAATAAAGTTTGCTATAAAAAAAAAATATTTCATATAATTTTGCATTATCTTTTTAAGACCTCCTAGAAAATATATAGTTCTATAGCATGCAATACCAAGTTGTCGTTTTTGATTTAGCAGGGGGCATAACCGTTAAAAATATTTAAAAATTAAAAAGAAAAAAAATAATAAATAGAAGTTTTGCATTTAAAAACACATAAATGATTATTTTATAGATTTAGCAAACTTACGCTAGGGTTGGGTTAGTTGGCTATTTTTCTTCTTTTATTTACTAAGGCCCCGTTATTGCCGTGAAAGTTTCTTTTTTTATATAATAAATTTTTAAATAACAGAGCTTAAAGCGTAAAAACAGAGGCACTACGGTCTTCCCTAGTTTATGTAATGTTTTATCATTTGTATAATAACTCAAAACATTATTTGTTTTTATTTTTTTATCTAACTGATGAGTATAGCGTCAAATATAAAAAAATTCAGATGTAAAATAAATATAATCTCAAATTAACATTGAAATAACGTTATTTATAATATTAATATAGATAGTAGCTAAATTCTGTTCAAAATAAAAAAAATCTTTAAAGAGCTAATCATTGATAAGATCATAAGTTCCTAAGAAAGAAATAGAAATAAGATTGACACCACAGCAAACTTGATATTTATGATATTCACTTAATCTCTATTGACAGCCATTACAACAATATTCATGTATAAAGTTAAGTCACAAGTTAAACAAACACCCTTAATTTAATGCGATATTCATATTTGAAATTAAACTTTAAAGGTCAACTTTCTAAGCGTAGATTTTAGTAACTTGCAAATATGTTTACATGATTTGAATTGTTTCTATTTATTCAACACTTAGAAAAAAGTTCTAATTAAATATATTTTTGAAAACATTTGAAAGGGTAATTGATGAAAGAATTTATGATTATATAGCATTAAATGAAACTTTTAGACAAAAATCAATTTTTATTTAAGAAACATTGCTCAACACAAAATGCTTTTTTTTTTTTTTACCAATAAAATATCCTTTGATATAAGTAAACAACTAACAGTATTATTTAACGAACTTTCCAAAGCGTTTAACATAGTTGATCAGAGAATTTTACTTTCAAAGCTGAAACATTAAGGCATTAAAGACCTAATTTATATAAATGCATTAAAAATAACTTTTTCAAAAAGTAAATTATTTGTTGTGTCTAAGCAGTCAAGTTACAATAAGATTACGGGGATTTTATTGCTTTAATATATATTATTAATATGGATAAAGCTGTTCATAAAATGTCATCAATTACGTATGCTGAGTTAGTATACACACGTTTATTTTTTTATAACTCCAATGTAAAGTTAAAGTTTGCAACAATCAACACTTAACTTATAAGTTTTGACTTTAAAGAGAATGAATCATCGTTAAATTCTAAAAAAGCATGCTTTACTCTCTTTCATATAACAAGAGGGTCACTCATTTTCTGTTAAAATCACCTGTTATTTCATAAAATTAAAAACTAAACTAATTAACGTACAAAGCTTACAAACCACACGCATATAAACCAATTAACTACTTGAATCGATTAGTAAATTCTTTTCCTCAAACGAAAAACATGAATGCTTATTAAATATATTTAAATTTAATTCGCTTCAAATACAGCTTTATCTATGCGTAAATATAAAAACAACTTTGGCAAAAATATTTTCTTAAACTTTTTTGTAGGAAAGTAAAATCACTAGAGTCAATTTTTTCAATTATGAGGTAAGGTCCTTTAGAATCCAGTTTCAATCATGAGGTATGGTCCTATAGAATCCAGTTTCAATTATGAGGTAAGATCCTATAGAATCCAGTTTCAATCATGAGATATGGTCCTATAGAATCCAGTTTCAATTATGAGGTAAGATCCTATAGAATCCAGTTTCAATTATGAGGTAAGGTCCTATAGAATCCAGTTTCAGTTATGAGGTATGGTTCTATAGAATCCAGTTTTAATTATGAGTTAAGATCCTATAGAATCCAGTTTCAATTATGAGGTATGGTCCTATAGAATCCAGTTTCAATTATGAGGTAAGGTTCTATAGAATCCAGTTTCAATTATGAGGTATGGTTCTATAGAATCCAGTTTCAATTATGAGGTAAGGTCTTATAGAATCCAGTTTCAATTATGAGGTATGGTCCTATAGAATCCAGTTTCAATTATGAGGCATGGTCCATAGAATCAGTTGAAAAATTGCATTATCTTAATTCTTGACAATATTATAACTGCAAAAACTTATAAAAATTTATATACTACTGTAACTTATATGTATTAAGTTTATATTTGACATGCTATAACTTGTTTAACTTAAATTTATTTGATTGAAGCTTTTATTTTTTATTTGAACAATTTACTTTGCACAATGATTGTTTTATTTTAAATTTTTATAGCCCATATAAGCTTTATGAAAAGATTGATGACTTTAGTCATTTCTATGAAAGACTAAAGCCACGTCAATCTTCTCAGAGCCTATGTGGGGTATAAAAATTTCTGATAATGATAATGATGATGATGGTGATGATGATGATGATGATGATGATGATAATGATGATGATGATGATGATGATGATGATGATGATGATGATGATGATGATGATGATGATGATGATGATGATGATGATGATGATGATGATGATGATGATGATGATGATGATGATGATTATGATGAATATTCAAATGAAAATAAGATAGAGATATATAAATATGAAATACCGTTTGTGAAAACTTGTACAAGCAACCAGACTTGAATAACTGCTTTACCGCACATTTTGATTAAACTGTAGAAGTCAATTTAACTATTAGCTGTAATATTTATAGGAAAATTAAAGAGATCTTATATTCCATATAAGGAACAACTTGAAAGTTTTGTTAATCCAATTCCATATAAGGAACAGCTTGAAAGTTTTGTTAATCCTTAAACTATGTTAGTTATGCTTGGTATATCATATCTTTATTTTAAAAGTTTTAATCTTGTCATATTTTATTTATCCCAGCTTAAAATCTTTATCTAGTCACAAACTGTTTGTGTGCGTCAGATTTATAAGTTAAACATATTAAGTTAAGTCTTGTTGTATCTATTTTTATAGCTTGTTTTAAATAATTAGCAATGCTGTTAAACCCCACTAAAATCTTTCTACAATAAGACGCACAAAAAAAACCCAGTTGTTTTCATAATTGTAAGGTTTTATTTAAAATTTGCTAGCGACTAGCAAACGACGTTTTTTAAAATTAACACGGTTTGCTAACAAAATCGACTTTGAGGATTGCTATCAAGATTAAAAAGCTACTACCTTAGGGCAACCTGTAATTATAAAGAGAACAACTTGGTTACAAGGATCACTAACTACTTTTTGTTAGCAAACCGTTCTCAAAATGTTGATGCAAAAGGATATTGTTTAACCACTAGTATTAGTTCATTTTTAAACATCTAATATATGTATATATATATATATATATATATATATATATATATATATATATATATATATATATATATATATATATATATAAATTATTCTAAGAAGCGCAATACATTGTGATAATACATCTTTCATGTTTTACCATTTAAAAAATTTGCTTACTATGTTTTCATGCTTATAATTATCAAAAGTATTTTAATGGTATTTATTTATATATTGAATGTAGGTAACATTTTATTTTTTATTTTAACTTGTTTTTCTGCCAACTTATTTTTAAACTGAGAGAGTAGTTTAATAGATGATGAAGATGATGAAGACAGTATTGCTATAGTATATATACTACATAATATATAATTATACAATTATAGTATATATTATATATTCTATAACAATATTTTTATAGTATATATACTATAACAATATTGCCTCTATCAGTTATTAACCTACTCTCCTAGTTTTAAAAAAAGATAGTAGAATAAAAAGTTAAAATAATTAATAAAATTTTCTTTACATTATATATGGTAATAATAAATACCATAACAAGAGTTTTGGTATTTTTTTTTTTTTAAAAAAATCTATTTATTAAAGGTATTTCCATAATGGCTTTTTTACTTTTAATTAAAAAAGAAACTTAATTAGTATGTAAAATGTTTGTTTTTTACATTTAATCAAATGTAAAATTAGATTTAATCTAAATTACTTGTTATAAATATTGTTAAAAAAGTATTTGCAAGAGATTAGATGCCTATAGAGTAGGAGCTTAAATAACTTTTAATATCTACAAATCTCAATGTTGGTAATACTTACACAATACAATAGTTATATCGGCAATACTTATGCAATATTAACTCGATAAAAGCTTTTGGATATAACAGCTATTACAGAATTCATCTGCGCAAAGACTTATGGCATAATATTTATTTTTAAAAAACCATTTAAAAAATATTCGAATCTTTAATTTTTTTTTTGTTTCTTTTTATCTTAATTTATTTATGTGGTATTGAAAGGTTTAACTTTAAACAACTTAATACAAATCATTTTAATTTAATGATAACATGAAATTTATTTTTAAAAATAATGTTACCTAAGATCAGATTCCCCGCCACTAAAATTTGTGTCACTGTGTCCTCCGTTTTACCAAAACTTTATTCAGGTCTGGATTAAGGTATAATGAGGCTATAAAACATCTTCAGATGGAAGCCTTTGCTGCGGTAATAAATAAATCCAAGACATAATTGTAAATTTAACAAATCAAATAATTTTACCATAATGAAAAAATCTTTACCATTTCTATCAATAAACAAGTAACAGAAAAAATTACTGGAAAGTTTAAATTCTTTTATAAAATTCAGAAGTTTGTGATATAATGGGTTGGATGCCCACTTGAAAAAAGGACCTTTTTTATTACTTATTGAGGTCTATATCTCCGTAATAAAATAACTTTAGCATATTTAATTTTTCTCTTAAATTGACTTATAGTTCATTTAAGCAGAGACATAAAATCCATTGTTCTAACAGAAATTTTTTCATTAATTTTTAATAGCTTTTATTATATAATCATTGGTTTAACAATTTGTTTTAATTATTTTCGAAAAATCTTTTCATTAAAATTTTTTCATTAGAAGATTGTGATATGTGCTACAAAAAGATCAAACCGTCTGCAGCCGTATTTACATCTCTCCATTAAGTTTAACGGAGCTTTTGTCTGAAATTTTCATTGCGATAATGATATGACGAAAATTTTATTTAAGTTTGTTTAAATAAAACAAATACTAAAATAAAACATTTATGTTTAAAATTTGTATTAAAACTATTTTTTTTTTTTTTTTTATTAATATAGTTATTAAGAAATTTTTGACTAACGATCCGAGCACGACGAAAAAGCATTTAAAGAGAAAATTCACGCAGTCATCTATACCAATATTGTTTAAATGACCAATTCTTTGAACTTCAGATTTTTGCGCTAGCGTTCTCACTACTGCTCCACAGCAACTTTTAATTTAACTATTTTATAGTTGACTATTTATAGTTATATGTAAAAAATGTCACGCTAAATTATCAAATAAAACTGCTAAGTCACGATGCCCGATTTAACACGCAACATTTAGAATAAAAAAACACCACGTGACTTTTAGATATTAGATGTGGCGTGACATTTATAATTAAAACACTTTTAGTTATCAATGTATTTTATCTCATGTTACCAAGCCTATTTTTTCATGCCATAATTAAAGAAATTTAATCTAGCGTGTTCAATTGGCCTTGATGACATGCGAAGATTAGAAGAATAAAAGAAAAGCAGAATAGAAAAAAAACTATTAAAAAAACAATTTTAAAATGTATTTTATTTTTTAAAAGTATTCTATAAAGATTAATACATTATGATAATACACTTTTCATGTTTTACCATTTAAAAAATTTGTTAACTAAGTTTTCATGCTTATAATTATCAAAAATATTTTAATGGTAATTATTTTTATATAGCATGTAAAGTAACATTTTATTTTTTGTTTTGACTTGTTTTTCTACCAACTTATCTTAAAGCTAGGAGAGTAGGTTAATAGATGAAGACAGTATTGTTATAGTATATATACTATATAATATATAATAATATTGTTATACTATGTATTATATATTCTATAACAATATTTTTTATAGTATATATACTACCACAGCAAGCACAAGCACAACGTTGAGAAATGGTTTATATATGGTTTAAAAATATAGATCTAAATTTCAACGTTAGTACAACTTTAAAAAAAAAAACGTTGAAATTTCAAGGTTGATTCAACGCTGATTTTCAACTAAAAACAAACGTTGAATTAACTTTGAAAAATAAACGTTGAAATAATGTTGAAATTGGGTTGAAATTTTAGATACGAAAGTTCGCCGACGCAAATCTACTTATAATTCGGAATTAAATAAAATTTAATATTTCACATAGATAAGTGCGCGAAAAAGTTCTTTAAAAACTTTTAATAAAAGTATTAATGTAATAAAAGTGAAAACATTATAAAAAATTTTTGCTATAAAAATATGTATATTTTTAAAAAAATTTATATGAATTTGCAGTATACACAAATTTTGCATATTTTATATAAAAATGCAAAACTTGTGTATATTGTTAATTGAAATAAATTTTTCGTCGTGGATAGCCTACCAAAAGTCGGTAGCGGAAAAATAAAAATTATCCTACCGAAAGTTTTTTTTATTGTTTTAGAATATCACATGTCAAAATAAACAATATTTGTTGTACCGTAAAATGAAGAATATTTAACATATTATTTTTAAAAAACAAAATCGTAAAAAATGGAAAAAATTAAATAGGATTTTCCATTAAATAAATAGAAATGACTGCCACCCCATACCAAAACCCTCAGTCAATGCATGTACACTCCACAGCGCCTACCCCTATATTATAGTAAACGTATGTACACTTCACTGCGCCTATCCCTAAGCTAGTAAATGTATGTACACTTCACTGCGCCTATCCCTAAATTAGTAAATGCATGTACATTCCTCAGTGCCTATCCCTAAATCAGTCAGTGTATGAACATTCCATTGCGTCTTTTAATGCATTGTACTATTCCTAGTGTATCTCCCTAAATAATTTATTCAATTAATAAGCGTAATAAAACCTAAAAAACATAGAAAAAAACAATCAAAATGTAATACATGATCCTTATGAAGGACTTCAACCCGGAGCGCCTAAGTATGGTGATACAAATATATCCGATACACAGCTAAACATTGTATATTCGATGTTTAAATTTATTTAGCTACTAGCGGTCATGACTCGTAAAGTACGGGTCTTTAGGATATCGATGCACACTTTATCCGCGTGCTTACAGTTCATTAGAACTCTTATCCGGCTTACAACGCAAAAAAATCTCAATCAAATGAAAACATCTAAATGATAACTTTTAATGTCCTAGATGCGAAGATTAAACTTATTGATTGCGAAAACACTAACTTTAACATATATGGTATTTGCAAGACATTTCATGCAACTTATGTCAAAATTTAATGGTGACTCTCAAATCCTAAAGGATAAGGGGGATATAACCTAGGTTGGCACTTTGTACCACAGCGATATTTATCATATACAAAAAAGCTGAATTTCTGTTTTTGTATATTTGATCAACAAAGTTTTTTCTCGAAAAGACTTGGAATATGTCAAGAAAGTTGAAAACTAAGTGTTAAAAGACTTCACGAAAAAACAAAATTTTGAAATTTGTGAACGATTTTTTTTCTCTCGTTAGCGAAGTTGGTTCTGTGTTAGAAATGCGAGGATCAAACTTTTGATTAATATCTTTACATATGTTGTCTATATACAATATCTATAAAACTTTATAAGTATTTGAATTTGTATTTAAAAAAATCTAAAAAAAATTAAAACAGTTGTCGCTAACGGTAGGACTCGAACC